ATTTACTGAGAGGGGGGTAATTTAAATGTTATTAGCTTGCCTAGGATTTTTTTTTTATCTTAATCTAGCTCTCTGCACCAGGGGTTTGTGCCTAGTTTTTGCCGGTCACAGGTTTTGAGCCATCCCCAGTGATGCCCTTTGAGATTGGTGGCAACAGGGCTGGACTGACCCATTGATATAACAAAGAAGCTGACATAAAGCTATGAAAATGTATTTCCAAATCAATAGACGCAAGGCAGATATGTAAAAATAGCTGTGGTCTGCTGTAACACCCTCTACATTTCTCTTCCGAACTTACTGCCTGCTAAGATACTTCTTTAGCGCTCATGGTAAAATCTCCAACATTGCTTGTTCTTGGACAGGAACACTTCTGCTAGTTGGAATTTAATAGGATTCGTACTGTATATGGAAACTGGCTTGGAGTGGAGAGGGGGGGGCAAAATCTATTAGCTTGCCTAGGATTTTTTTGATCTTAATCTAGCTCTCTGCACCAGGGGTTTGTGCATAGTCCACACAAATGCATGCTGGATCCACATATTGCACCAATATTATTCTAGCATAGGATGATTCAAATTTTCCTATTGCCACCTTAAGGGCCTGTGATGGTGGACTTTTGTTCACTTAAGTGGGTTTAGTGGGTTTTATAGGGGAAGCACAGTGGCATAGTGGTTAGTGCTTCTGCCTTGTAGCACTGGTCCCTGGTTTGAATCCCAGCCAGGTCACCATCTGCAAAAAGAGTTTGCATGTATTCCCTGTGCTTGCATGGGTTTCCTTCAGGTACTCTGGTTTCCTCCCACTCTCCAAAGACATGATGGTAGGTTAATTGGCTACTATCTAAATTGGCCCTCATATGTATGCATGTGAGATAGGAACCTTAGATTGTAAGCTCCTTAACCTCTTGCTGTCTGCCCGTAGTATTGTTTAGTGTCTTTTTACCCGACGTGACCCCATCTTTTATATTTTACCAAAAAATTGGGTAATAATAAATGTTTTATCATTTAATATAGGGGAAACTGTTTTTTTTTTTTAAATTTCGGTAATTTTTCCTTAATATAGTAAAAAAATAAAAACCCCAGTGGTGAATAAATACCACCAAAAGAAAGCTCTATCTGTCCCCAAAAAAGGGTATAAAATTCATTTCAGTACAGCGCTGCATGACGGAATAAATGTCAGTTAAAGTACCGCAGCGCTGAATACTGAAAAATGGCCTGGATGGGAAGGGGGTTTAACACCGCGGATGTCAACTGGTTAAGGGCAGGGACTTATGTGAATCTGCACTATGTGAAGCACTGCATACCTCATGTTGGTGCTATATAAATACCTGTAATAAATAATATACAAGTCTATAGGAATGCAAAACTTGCTTGAAGTAGGTCTAATGCATCTAATCAAAAAAAGCTTTGTGCCAAAGCTTACCCTTGCAGCAAGCACTAATCCAGAATCTAGTCTAGATATCAAAACCTTTCATATAAACTGCACTGTGCCAGAAATGTAAGTGAAACAATGTACAATGTTATTAATGCATACATACAAATTCTCATAAGTAAATAGTCCCAGATGTGCAATCTTATAAATGCATAAATAATCTCATAAATAAACAGTCCCAAATCAAATATGTTCAAGTTCAAAATGAATTTTCATTCCAATCCAACACTGTGTCCACAATCACTCCTACTTTATTCAATGTGTGGTTTCCATCATCCCTCTACACTTGCCATCATCGGTGATCCAAAAGAAGAACTTCACCACAGACACCCTTTAGAGTGCAGCTCACCTGGTATTGCGACCCTATTTCTAAGGTCTCATAATGCCAATTCCCTTTCAGTTACGGGTTGGATGAAACCCCAGATAGTAACACACGTCCGACCCCTCTTCTCCTTGCTTAAGTAGCAGTACACCAGGCCGGTCAGTCATATTGTCAAATTCCTCCACACATTTCCCTCATATATTCCGGAACACATATACAAAGCAGAAAAGCAATCCATAGTGCACACTGTTAACATATGACAAAACGTTTAGTAAATATTACTCAACATAAAATCAAATAAAATTTGCATTAAAAAATCTGTGTGCAGTCTCTACCAAAGGAGTGACTCACAATCCCCAGCTTGGTGCGCTCTCAGGCTCCACCCCCACATCTGAGACTATTTACTGATGAGAATTTGTATTTATGCACCTATAAGTTTACACATTGTTTCACTTATATTTTTGACACAGCGCGGCACAGTTTATATAAATAAGGTCAAATGCATGTCAGAAGAGGGTCAACTGTGAGTTGAATGCACCTGTCAATAAGTTTTGAATGATCTCAGAAGCGTCTCAAACTAATGCCATCAACACAGGCCCTAAGGCAAGCATGTATTTTGCTGATCATAATGGGCAAAGAAATAGGTTCACAATTTACAATTCACAATTTAGTGCTGTGTTGTGTTAAAGTGACATTAAAGTCTCATGCTGCTTTAAGGACTTACTTTAAGTGATGTCTCTTAACTTGAACATCTTCTTCTTTCCTGTAGTTTTCAGCAGTCCCTCCAGCGCTGGTGCCAGTCTCTGATCAAGCGTAGACTGCTGTTTGTTCCTGTCCCACGGAGTCTGTCCGGCATGCACGCTTACGGCTGCATGCATTGACTTTCACTGTAGCCTTCCTCCTCTCCCCGTCAATGATCTCCACTGCATATGCGCCTGCACACATCTTCCTGCACGGCCACTCGAGAAGCTGGATTCTACAGCTTTGAGCAAGCGGCGGAGACACAGGTATGTTTTTACCTATTTGGTAACTTTTTTTATTTAAAAAAAAATGTTTTTGCATATATCTACTGCTTGCTAGCAGTGGATATACAGTATGTAAATAAAACGTTAATGCCACTTTAATTACCACATGTTAATGTGTATTGTGTCACATGTTAACATACACTATATTGGCAAAAGTATTGGGACAGCCCTGCAAATCATTGGATTCAGGTGTTCCAATCACCTCCATGGCCACAGGTGTATAAAATCAAGCACCTAGGCATGCAGACTGCTTCTACACACATTTGTGAAAGAATGGGTCGCTCTCAGGAGCTCAGTGAATTTGAGCGTGGTACCGTGATAGGTTGCCACCATTCCATCCCAAGGCTGCACCCAAGCCTTACATCACCAAGTGAAATGCAAAGCGTGGGATGCAATGGTGTACAGCCCGCTGCCACTGGACTCTAGAGAAGTGGAGACGTGTTCTCTGGAGTGATGAATCACGCTTCTCTGTCTGGCAATCCGATGGACGTGTCTGGGTTTGGTGGTTGCCTGACTACATTGTGCCAAGTGTAAAGTTTGATGGTGTGGGGTTGTTTTTCAGGGGTTGGGCTTGGTCCCTTAGTTCCAGTGAAAGGAACTCTTAAGGCATCAGCATACCAAGACATTTTGAACAATTTCATGTTCCCAACTTTGTGGGAACAGTTTGGGGATGGCCCCTTCCTGTTCCAACATGACTGCGCACCAGTGCACAAAGCAAGGTCCATAAAGACATGGATGAGCGAGTTTGGGGTGGAGAAACTTGACTGGCCTGCACAGAGTCCTGACCTCAACCCGATAGAACACCTTTGGGATGAATTAGAGCGGAGCCTTCGGGCCCGGTCTCCTCGTCCAACATCAGTACCTGACCTCACAAATGCGCTTCTGGAAGAATGGTCAAACATTCCTCCTAAACATTGTGGATGGCCTTCCCAGAAGAGTTGAAGCTGTTATAGCTGCAAAGGGTGGATCAACTCAATATTGAACTAAGACTGAGATGCCATTAAAGTTCATGTGTGTCTAAAGGCAGGCGTCCCAATACTTTTGGGAATATAGTGTGTATTGCATTAAGGTAGATGTTGCTGTATGCTGCGGTAATGTGCACGTTTTACCCCATATGTTTTAATAGGCCCTTACTAAATGCACTTTAAGCAGTTGGTACTTATTTTCTATGAAAGTTTTTACACAGGTCTATGCATTCTCCCCTTACCCCACATTACATTGCTCAGGCTTGGCAGCGGGTTACTTAGTAGGCACCAAAAGCTGCATTGTTGGGGGGCATATGTCAAGAAACAGGCTCCAAAAGAGGAAATCCTCAGTTGTCATCGCAACAATTGCCCCACATTAGAAGACATCCCCTCTATACCTGTACTCCAAATATTGTATTCCCCATCACTGTCATTTCCGCTGACAATGGTCACCAGGACAAATAGAGATCAACCCAGGGCACATGGAAAGCAATTGTTCTCCATGTGCCCTGTTCATGCCACAGTGCCATGTTTTTGTGGGGTGCATGCTGCATTTTCTTTAACACAACTTACTCCAATGCATCTCACCTCACCACAATTTCGTTGAGGTGCAGGGAAATTTGTCATTTGATCACATTCCAATAAAGGTAAAAAAAAGTATACAGTGCTATGTGTTGAAACAACACAATTCATCACCCCCTCAAAATGGACATTACACTACATCTCCCTTGATACAGGGACACCGTCACGCCTGCCAGGGATTCTTACCTCCCTACTC